TTGCTCGTATCTCATCGCGCGAATGTCTTCTGTGTGTCAGACGATATGACACATAACGGCTAACGAAGTCAAGATCTTCATCGATTAGTTCATTGGCGCTGTACTGCGACTGGAGGCGTTCGGGTACGCGGTGTTGTGTCCATGGATTGTTGCTTAAATCACTGTGGCGCGGATAAGTACGTACAGCCATCAAGGATTGGAGGAATAGCAGATCATAAGGGCTTGCAGTAGCTAGCTGAAGTACTGCTAATGCAATATTGATGACGGATAGTTTAGTGGAAGCCGTTATCGTGTCATCGTCAGCGAGAATGTTACAGATCTCTGCCACGCAGGCTGCAATAACATAAGTTTTCTAGTGTCGGCTGGTGCTTGCTGGTATAGGATTGGTACACCTGCTAAGAGGGTTTGAATCACGGCAATCTGTGGCTAATTGAGTGGAGTATTAGTTTGAAGTGAAGGCGCGTTAGTTAAAATTTCTTGAGTGGAGCGTTGAGCGATGTTTTCAATTTCCATTAAAGATCTGATGATAGATCGGTGAGGAGTTGGGGGTTGTCGGATATTGCTGGAGTAAGTTCACGATATCTGAAACGTTCGAGGCGAAATTCATAACCGGTTGAGTGTGGATCAGGGTAAATTTTGATAAGCTTTTCTTGTAGGTGTGCTTCTTCAGTAAGTTCAATAGCAATTCGTAGCTGTTTATCATCAAAATAAAGCGTTGCTTTGATGGTTCCACCGTCTTCAACATCGATTTGCTTCAGTTTACCAACAGCCTGTGGTGGGTTGTAGAGAGAGAATAGTCATGGATGATGGGACGTTTTGCTGATGGATCAGTTACTTTAAATATCATTCGGCAGTGTCGTTCCCAAAGTTTAATACGCGTGACTGCAATTCTTGGGTTATCGCTCGGTGTAATCTGAAGATGTACGAATTTGCCATCAAAGATCTTTCCCAATATATGCTGTTATTTTGAATGCCGTTCTTTGGCGATTTTGCTTGAAGGCTGAAGTTGCTAATGGAACATCTTCATATTCACGTATTATGGGGCAAATGTTTTCGCGAGCTGCCGTGTTGAGCGGATTTGGCAAACAGTGTGACCATTTGGAGCCAGCGGAGTGAGTTTTATGGCATACGAGAATTTTCCTTCAGTCATGCGACGAGCTTTTTGTTGTTGTCGATAATGGCGTGATAATACAAAATTGGAGCCAATTTGCATACCAGGATCAAGAAACAGTTAGAGACTACGTGCGAAAGAGCCTGGAGGCGGATTTGTACAATATATGAAGTCCAGTTGGTATTCGCGAATTTGTATTTGAGATTCATGATATCGACTGACAAATTGCTGTGTGCGCGGACGGTTAGCTGTACAAATTTGGATTACTGTTGGGATTTCTCGAGGGCGAGATCGTACTTCTAGATCAATTGTGTCGGCGGCAACAATTGCTGTAGGTTTTGCAGAATCTGAGCCGAGAACATTGCTGATGTCGGTGTCCTGGAATAACTGAAATGTTAGTGCTTGCCCTTCTACATATACAATAGCATAAACATGGACATCAATCTCATCTAAAAGATGTGGTGTGTTGTTTTGATGTGTCAGAAGTCGGCTAATATTTGGAAACTGAATACCGGCATCTTCATCTATGCGGAGTAAAACAGGCGCTGTACTCAATACTTGTTTCGATTGTCCAGAAAGTAAGGCTGCTGTCCATCTTTGGATGAAAGCTTGAATGATAATATATCTGACTGGATTTGAAAATTCTTTTGGTTGTAAGACAGTTTGTTGGAGATTCGTGATTGTATGAAGTTGTTTGATGCTTGATGCAATTCGCTACTTGACAGCTGTTAAAAACGCGAGATTGGTATGATGAAGGAAGACTGGAGCATGACTGAGCAGAAGGTGAGCTGAAAGAAATGTCGCGGACAGCAATATAAGTAGTAGGAGTACTGGCGGCAGTGGAATGGGAATCAATTGCAGGAGGTAGTGGTGGGAAGTCATCAATGGTATGAGCTTAATGTGGTGAGCATTTCTGTTGTAATTGCCG